GGGGGGGGGGCGGCGGCACGGAGGGCAAACACTTTGAAATCTGAACCGGGCTTGAACAACAGTGCCCTCTCTTTATACAGAGTGACAGAGATGCATTAGCCAAACAAATCTGTCTGAGCTGAGACTCCAGTTAGAGCTAGGAGACCAGAGCATTAAGCCCGTGTTGCTTAAAAAGCCACACCGACTGATTCAAGTCACACAATTTATGTGCTTTACTTAAGAGTTTTGTTAATGTTTTTTTTAAAAATTGTAGAGAAGGCTATGGTCTGGGAGGAGGATCACAGAGCCAACCTCAAACATTCACGATGTTGTCATGTATTTTCCACAAAGTCACCAGCAGACTACATACCAAACAAGACACAGGTGGTGCAGGGGCAAATAATCCTGCCTGCAGCCACAGTGGTGTGAAACTCACTGCAATACATTTTAATTGTCAAGCTAATCGGGAAGCTCACCTTTGCTTTGCTATCTTGTGTTGACATGTAGCCAACACACATGCTCTCTGTGGTGTGACTCCATAGGAACTCCACTGTGAGGAACACAAAGACAAAAAAGGTTCATTATAGACTGAACAGGAGAAAAAGAATGAACATAACTATACATGTATGTAACTGTAATAATGTAGATAAAAAGAGCATGGGGACAGAGCGAGGGTGTGGGGAGAAAACAGACTGTTAATATGCTAAATTTTGAATTTCACAAATGAAACCTTTCCATCTGCCAGAGGAAAAAAGTTTGGAGGTGACTCAGCCTGCCAAACTGCGGTACACTCTGAGCATGCCCATTATCATGAAATCAACTTGCAGTTGTGACATACAGTTGTGTGAAAAAGTGTTTGCCCCTTCCTGATTTCTTATTTTTTTGCATGTTTGTCACACTTAAATGTTTCAGATCATCAAACAAATTTAAATATTAGACAAAGATAACACAAGTAAACACAAAATGCAGTTTTTAAATGAAGGTTTTTATTATTAAGGGAAAAAAAAAATCCAAACCTACATGGCCCTGTGTGAAAAAGTGATTGCCCCCCCGCTGTTAAAACATAAATTAACTGTGGTTTATCACATCTTTGGAAAGCTGAGTTCAATTTCTCTAGCCACACCCAGGCCTGATTACTGCCACACCTGTTCTCAATCAAGAAATCACTTAAATAGGACCTGCCTGACAAAGTGAGGTAGACCAAAAGATCCTCAAAAGCTAGACATCATGCTGCGATCCAAAGAAATTCAGGAACAAATGAGAAACAAAGTAATTGAGATCTATCAGTCTGGAAAAGGTTACAAAGCCATTTCTAAAGCTTTGGGACTCCAGCGAACCACAGTGAGAGCCATTATCCACAAATGGTGAAAACATGGAACAGTGGTGAGCCTCACTTGCCTCAATTAAGGTCAGTGTTCATGACTCCACCATAAGAAAGAGACTGGGCAAAAATGGCCTGCATGGCAGAGTTCCAAGACAAAAAACACTGCTGAGCAAAAAGAACATAAATGCTCGTCTCAGTTTTGCCAGAAAACATCTTGATGATCCCCAAGACTTTTGGGAAAATACTCTGTGGACTGACGAGACAAAAGTTGAACTTTTTGGAAGGTGTATGTCCTATTACATCTGGCATAAAAGTAACACGGCATTTCAGAAAAGGAACATCATACCAACAGTAAAATATGGTGGTGGTAGTGTGATGGTCTGGGGCTGTTTTGCTGCTTCAGGACCTGGAAGACTTGCTGTGGTAAATGGAACCATGAATTCTGCTGTCTACCAAAAAATCCTGAAGGAGAATGTCCGGCCATCTGTTCGTGACCTCAAGCTGAAGCGCACTTGGGTTCTGCAGCAGGACAATGATCCAAAACACACCAGCAAGTCCACCTCTGAATGGCTTAAGAAAAACAAAATGAAGACTTTGGAGTGGCCTAGTCAAAGTCACGACCTGAATCCGATTGAGATGCTGTGGCATGACCTTAAAAAGGCGGTTCATGCTCGAAAACCCTCCAATGTGGCTGAATTACAACAATTCTGCAAAGATGAGTGGGCTAAAATTCCTCTACAGCGCTGTAAAAGACTCATTGCCAGTTATCGCAAACGCTTGATTGCAGTTGTTGCTGCTAAGGGTGGCCCAACCAGTTATTAGGTTTAGGGGGCAATCACTTTTTCACACAGGGCCATGTAGGTTTGGATTTTTTTTTCCCCCTTAATAATAAAAACCTTCATTTAAAAACTGCATTTTGTGTTTACTTGTGTTATCTTTGTCTAATATTTAAATTAGTTTGATGATCTGAAACATTTAAGTGTGACAAACAGGAAGGGAGCAAACACTTTTCACACAACTGTAACTGTAGAGGAAGGTAGGACTTGTGAGCCGGAGAGGAAATCACAGCACCCAAAGGATGCGGTCGACGTACTGTTTATTCTTGTAAATCAACACAGAGCCCTTTGCAGTCCACAGTAATCTGAGGTAGTCTACGCTCTGCACAAGGGCTACGGTCCATGAACAGCATCAAACAGGGCCTGCACATCACTGAGTAAGTGGCACTTAGGAGCTTTTTATTATTCACGCTGACATTCTGTATGGTATAAATAGCGTGTCACTAATCATTTGCCATCATGTTTGATTTGACATCAAGATGTCATCCCCTGCTACGTTGGAGAAACTTCTGCTCTACTTTGTCTGTGAACTGGAACCCGTCCATTGGTTTCTTTGGAGCTGATGGTCCGATATCAACCATTTAGAAATAATAATAAAAAGGACAAAAGGTAACATTAAAACCCAGTGGTAAATCATACTGCCTTAACTTTGGACAGACCTCTCATTAAGTCAAATTAAATGATGGTAGCTTTGCGAAAGAACGATCCTTCTCAGAAGCTCCAGGTAGAGAAACCAGATCCACCAATTCAATCAGTCTAACTGGGCAGCATTCAGAAGGCCTCCACTTGAAGAAGATTAGCTGTTGATTCCATAGTGGGAGGTCTCTGTTTGAATCGGAGATGAAGGGTGTGAAACCAGAGCCTGATTGTGCGGGTAAAAACACAGACCACCCGCCAGGAAAGCCACAATGCCTCCTCCCCCTCCTCCCATCTTCTCCCATCCATCGCTTGATGGATTTTTAAATATTAACAGCCAAATCTCTGCCTGCCATAAGCTGCGGCTGCGGAGGTTTGAGTGTGATTGTATTTGAAAGGATTCATGTCTTACCCAGTATACCCTGAATATTTTGAGATGGCGGAGCTTCCACACATCTGCAGCAGCGCAAGACAATTACTCCACCCAAAACACGGTCCTCGCTGGCCAGAAAGGGTGAGCCTGTGCACACAAAGAAAACACCAAGAATGAGACAGACAAAGTTTTCCTCCCCAACACTTCCAACCAAGGAGAACACGTGACAAAAGCTGGACAAAGCACAGCCCTTTTAATCAAATTAAGGTGATCTATCAGAACAAAAAATTAAAAATTCCTTCCATTCATGTTGTTTGCCTTTCTGGCCAAGTCAAACAGCTGAAAGCCTTTATTTGGGTGCATTTATTGTGTTTAGCAGACTGTTAAAACTATTTGTGTGGGGCAGGTTTTAGCACATAATAGGTTAATGACAGGTCGTGTCATTTTCCCCACACTGTACACTTCTGTACCACAATACATTTTAAGTTTAAATAAAAATAAATTCTTTATAAATTTAAAGAAAAACACACAGCTACATAACTCTCAAAGACCTTTGAGCTTACTTAAAAAAAAAAAATCCCTAGTGTGGAATGAGAAACTCTCTTGCTTACTGGCAAACTTGAATGAGGTGCTGTGTATACATAACAAAACTTGGATTGGTTGAGGGGCAATAAAAGTTTGGTAAAGAACAAAACTAAAAGCAGCTACAGCATGTCTTGAAATGTCTCAACACAGCAACAAGAAAAAAACCATTTCTGTGTCTGCACGCCGTTGTTTCTTTCTTGCATTTCACACCGATTTTAGTTCCACGTCGTAATGTTCCCTTCACTCTATAAAACACTTGGACGGCATTCACACAAAACCCCGCTATTCGCTGTACATTTCTAAAAAGGCTCTTAAATTAATTCTGTTACACATTCCATAATAACTCTGACATCTTTGCATGTTGTTAACATGAGAGCAGTTCAATTATTGCCTCAACGATCACCGCTTTTTAAACCATAACAAAAGAAAATTAAATTAATGTAATTTGACTATTTTTGAGTCTGTGTGTGAATACAATGAGAGGTATTGTATTACATAAAAACAGATCTAAAAATACTGATGGTGTTTAAAGATATTCTATTTAGGGAACCTGACTAATGCATCATGGAAGTTGAGTAAAGAGGCCTCCACATCACAGACACTGTCATCATTGGCCTTGCTAAGGCAGGATTTATGGAGCTTTGTTTGACTTAACGTGCATCTTGAAAGAAAACGGCAGAAGAACTAACTTCAAACTGGCTTCATGCAGCCCATCCGAATGTGTTGAAGTCATAGATGTCCATGACAAAGCCAAACTGAGACGGACTTCTTTTAAAAGGAGGCCAAAACAAGGCAGAAACCACCACGTTTCCACATGTCCTTTCTTCCTCTGCTCCGAGCTATCCCAGTGGTCATTCACAGACGCAGCAAACACAGTTAACAAGACTTTCTCAAATTGACCACTTCTGAGAATATGGCAGAAAAAAAATAAAATAAAAATTCAACAAAACAATTATGTCTTCCAAAATTATCTGTGGCTGTCATCTATGATGCGTGGAAAATATGAAGGCCCACATATCAAACGCCATCTCTTCTGAGTCTATTATTCCCAATGTTCCCAGTTGTTAGCCCGTTCCTTATGTTATGCCACATCTGTTTGTGAGCTCAACTCCCTCTGTGCATGATTGTGTTTCTCGCAAACACATTCCCGGGCTAACACATTCCCGGGCTAACACATCTGTGCGTTTGGAATGGAGTGGCAGTCAGGCTGCATGTGGGTGACTCACTGATGAACTTGTTTTGCATAGCCTCCAGCAGCGCTTGGTGGGCATCCTCAGACTGCACGGCAGCAGAGCATTCCCGTGCCAGCATGGTGCGAATCAGATGCTCTCCACAGCCTGGCAGAAGACACACAGACACACAGCTGAACCCGGATCAGTTACTTGCATTCACTCGTTTCCTTGTTGCCAGCATGCAGGCCTTTTTTAATCAGAGTTGCACAAGGTCTCCAGCGAGATCAGTTTGGAGAGACGTGAAGCGCACGCAGTACACACCACATTGTTAAAATTCTGACTTTCAAACATCAGCTGTGTATGGTATTAATTACGTCTTGATATTTCACATCTTGAGGTTAAAGTGAATTTTGAGATCAGTATGTACAAGCATTTCCTGACTACCAGTTGTGCTTTGAGTCGATTATGCTTTGATATTGAGACATGCTCAGAAGATCATGTTTACCCGATATATCTGGTTACAATGTTACATAATGGAAGATGTTGCAGACTTTAAGGATTCACTTTCCTAAACTGAAAATGTGAACTGCGATGGCTGCGACACACTTTTCAAAACAAAACTACAGTATAAAAAGTCTAATGAATCAGAAAAATGCCAGGAGGCTCAAGTGCTTGAGTTGGCTACACCTGAATCTATCTGATGCTCTTCAGTTATGTGGCATGTGATGGACGATATGCTGTAGAAACATCCACAGAGCGAAACAAAGCACTTTGTGAAGCACTTCAGTAAACCAGGAACCATAAAACACCATGAATGACTCACCTTACCTTTCACCACGTCCAAGGCAAAACATGACAGGTGAGCTTTTTTATATCTTAGATAATACTACTTACTGCGTATAAGGCCTAACTTTGAAACCAGTACCTCGTGTTGCTACGGAAAGACAGATATTGAATGCATGATGCATGTGTGGCACAATAAGTCATATTATGATCCTACTCAAAATGTGAAGTCAGGGAAAAAGACAAGAAATCCAAAACTGGAACCAAAACACATCTGGCAAAAGCTCCTGTGAAACCCCATAAAAGAGGGAAGAATACAGCCTCGTTGTTTCTGTAAACACAAATGAAAACCTCGTAAAATATCAGGTAACTACAACATAACCGAACGCAGGTCGGTAACTGTGGAGACCAGATGCCTGCAGCAATTTGAAGTTGCATTTTTAACGAGAGCAGAACGTCAGATTGGCCAGGTACTGTGCCTTTTGTTTCCCGTAAAGGGCTCTGTCTCAGGGGAGCTGCATATCATGGCAGCGTGAACACGACTGAACTGGAACCGCAGTGAGATGCCCAGACTGAAGCAGCAACTCAACAGAGGAGAAATGTAACAACAACAAAAAATAGGCCAGCGAGTGACAGCCAGCAGCAGCGAGAGCAAACAGTGAAGTGCGTGAGCTGTTCTCTCGCGGGCCACAGCAAAGTGAACGCCAGGCGAAGCAGTCAATGCATATAAAACAAAGACCCACATATGGCGCATGTTACAAAACAGACTAGAGTGGAGGGGGGGGGTGAAGGGGAGAAAGAGTGACATATAGGGTGAGGACCATGCTCTACGAGTCAGGATGAAAATGATTGTTTTTGTGTCTTTTGATGGGAATGCCTTTCATGTCAGGAAATTAAAAACAGGTGTTCTACTGGAACACACATTATGTTCTCCATACCCATAAGGAAAGCTTCTTTTTTTTTTTTTTTTTTTTTTTTTAAGTCACATCAAAGGCAAAGCCACAATATAGGAAGACAGGATGAGGTGGAAATACACACAGAGAGCAAACAGCTACACTTCAGCAGACTATAACCAAGACAGCGTCTCATACTGCTAGTTGGCTGTGATAATACAGTATAGACAGACTATGTATCACCTTTGAGCTGCGTTACAAGTGACACAACTTTAATACCAAACTGTCATCTCGTGTGATCATAGATACAAATGTACAGCACATGGTAGATAGAGGAATTGCAACCTTGGGGATGCAAACATATCTTTGTTTCTTTGTTTGCCAGAGAATCACCAGACAGAGGCATTCATTTTTTTCAGGGCCTTGGCTCAGTATAAACTCTTTTTGGCTGTTACACTACACTAAATTTCTCACTGATTGCTGGATATAATATATTGAGACGAGCTTTAGCGGTGCAAAATGCTGGCTATCTCTGTGCTCCGAGCACATATGACTCAAGCTTCAGCCTGTCTGATCAAATCAGTTTGTCCGCACTGAGATGCATTAGGCTACAGATCCACATGAAAAAGGTTTTAATGCTCCCCAGAAGCTATGTCGCGGGCGTCTCCACACATCTTAAAGAAGTGGGCACATACATCCTCTCTACCTCACATTCGAAACCATACCGCTCACAACGAAGGCAATGTTGCCGTCAGCTAAAAGAGGCATGCACTCTCATGTTTGGGAAACGCTAAAGCGTGGTTGTGTACACTGCGTTCACATGTTCAAGAAGAATGCATTTTTTTTTGAAATGGCATATTGGTCCTGCAAGGTAAAGGGTGTCTTTGTCCATTTGACTCTCTGGATCAGTTTAATCCTTAAAGGGCCGGTGCTTCAGGGGGTGACCTCCCTACTCCTGTGTGGCAGCAGCAGGAAGGTGGCTGCCGTCATTTCTATAAATGCAGACTTGTAACGGCTGAAGCATTGTATATCACAAAATTCACAAGGCTCTTACTGCCGACAGCGGCAAGAAAAGTTCCTTTTCATTTGACAGGTTGTCTAGTGAAACCACAAGGAAACATTTTACTCACTTACCCCTTGGTGCTCTCTAGTTATTGCTCTTCTTTACATTTTATAGATCGAGTCTTTTTCAGAGGTTTTGAGATATCTTCTGATAAGTCCTCTACTTACAACCCAATATAATGGTGGTGAATGGAATTTCAGGTATAATACCACTCATTTAGACGGGAAAAGTTAAGATCCCAATCTTGATAACTGCACTTGAAGTTTGCAAATGGATCATCTTTCTGCTGCGCTCCCTGCGGTTCTCTCCATCATGTCTACAGCAGGTGTCCCATGTCAAATGTCCTTGGAACTCCACAGAGCTTTGCAATGCACCCGGCATGCAGCCGAGTAACGGAGAGTGGAGAATGATGACTCAATCAAGCTGAGGAAGTGACTGATGAGAGTCACTCAGCAGGAATGGCTGCAGGTCAGCGGAAAGTATTATCAGGACTATTGAAGCTTGACTCAGCGAGCCTTAATAAGAGGCTCACATTAAATAAAAATCTGTTTCCAATTCGTATCATTTCTAAAGCAAACAGCAGGCTGGTGGTAAACGTTAACGGTGCGAGGAAACATTACACACACATGCACGCAAACACACACATATGTACACAACTGCCAAGTAGGCTGTAGAGAGTGAGCTGTGGTTTACCTGAGGTACTCACTGCCGTAGAGTAAGGGTTCATATTACAAGCGTTTTCTGCCCAGCAGCCACATCCATAATGAGCAGCCTAAGAAAAGAGAGCAAAGGAGGACCTTTTAGATGCAAAGGAGTTGTTGCCGTTGTTTTAACATTTCTGTCTTGGAATTACCAAAAAATATAATTAATTCTCAAATAATAACTTTGAGAAGCATGCTCATAGCCAAATACAATATTTAAAAACTTATACTCCAGGCAGGGGAGGTCATTTCAGCCTAATTCAGGTTTCCACATCATTAACTACAGTGGAACAACATACGCACGACTCTGCTGCGCTGAGCTTCAGGTTTTTGAGCAGTGACAGTGTTAATAGAGCAAAGCAGTAAATCCCACCGATTCATTCATTCTGTTCCCATTGTTAAGTTGTTTGTTTTTGTCCTGTTCAGCTGCTGTTCATGCAGACTCACAACTTCCGGTAGCAGTCTCAAAGTAAAAGACCTCCAGCACACAAAAGTTGAACTAGAATTTGTTGAGTTTGCATGAACATTAAAAATAGGGCACAAGACACGGGGATGATCGGAGCGAATTCTTCTGCAGTAGGTCGCCTCATTTATTTAGACTATCTGCATTAAGAGGCTCTAATTACATCAAACGGCAGCGAGGCCGGATTAACACAGCAAGGGTAGAAACAAAAGGGGGGGGGGGGGGTCCTTCATTGGTAACAGCTGCTTGCTAAATGCTCTTATCTGATGCTTTCAAACTTTCAAAAGCTGGATTGATTCGAGTTCATTTTTGGCCACACGGGGGCATAAAAACAAAAAACAAACCACAGCCCTGGCTGATTGACTCATTATTAGTAGCTTGTGGTTAATGCGTTGGCATGATATTGCCCGTTTACACATCCAGCCGACACCACCTTTCCATTGGCATTGAGTTTGTGGCCACTTGAGGAGTCTAAAGGGCGATCCGCAGAGGAAGCATTTCTGAAGTCCGTCACTCGCCCGTCTCACAGAACAGATTGATGCATTTGATTAAATGGATTGATACGTTTAAAGAAAGTGCTGATTCCGCCGAAGGAGCCCACTTAAAAGCTATTTCTGTCTGGTAAATTTCTGCTGTCAGTCAGCCTTGGTGCAGACAGTTTGGCCGGCTGCTGTCCTCTCAGCTCCTCAGAAAGCTGCTGCTGACAGACACACAGCTGGTTCTGAGGACGGAGACACGTGAATGGAGGTCAGGGTCAGAGCTGACTGGATGTCTGAACGTCATCGAAGTTGTTTTTGGTGAAATTGACGGCAACATACCGAGAACATGCTAGCTGTAAAAACAAAACATTGAGCTGAAAGTGGTTAAAACCCCTGTGGAGCCGCAGAGTCGGGTAATAATTCCTTGTGGGTTTGTTAGTCATTTCTGTAGTCATTTCCTTCAGCGTTATCAAAAAGAAAACATTGATTAATGCCGTTTTGGTTTTCAGCAGCATACCATAATTTGACACAAACTACATGTAGCTGCTTCCACATAAATATACATTTTTTACACAAAAAAAACCCCACATTGAAGTAACGATACGCCTCTTATAAAAGCCGTGTCAAATAAAGGCCTGACTCAATCTTGTAAATGATATTTTATATATTAATTGTACAAGTAAAAGTTGTTTTGTGGGTAAAGACAGACAGAAAAAAAAAAAACAGAAGATGTTCCCCCTACCTGGCCAACCCTGCCGGGATGTTTCATGGCCAGACCTCCACTGGACACCGCTGCAGCTACATTCCCTTCCAGATCTACCACAATGGCCCCCACTGTGTCCAGGCACCCTGAACCATTGTCCTACATCACAGTAAGAAGAGGAGTCACATGAGCAGAAATTGGACATTTTCAAAATGACAATTGTTCTCATTTCAGGCAACAAAAAGGAGGAGAAATCCAAACATTCACATTCTGGAGCAGATACAACATCTTTGACGAAGGACATTTTGAAAAATTAAAAATTGAATGCATGTATTTATGAATCACTCTTCCTTGATCCTTCATGTTTCATTAAAAATGTGCTGTTGTGATTTCAGTCAGCTGTTTTCCCTTCTGTGATTGCAGTTTGCTTTGGAAGTGACTAGTTTGTGAACCATCATGCATCAGACTGCATGATGAATAGAGTCCTACATCTTAAATGTGCAAAATGACATTATGATACATGACCCAAGCTCCACTCTCACCAGAAACTGAAGATCTTCATTGAACCCTGGACTAAAAAAACAAAAGGCCTCGGCATGCTCTCGTAAATCAGCCCCGTCTCCGCGCTTTTGAAGATGAAAAGAACCAGAGCCAACTATTTAGAAATGCTACAAAGACCCTCCTGTCATTCCTTATCAGTGTCCCTAAATTAAAAAAAACAATCCACAGTAAATAATGACTGTAAAACTTAAGGGCATCTTTGGACTTATATTGAAATGCTTTAGACTTTCCTAAACAAAACTGCAACTATATACCGTCATGAGACAGGTGGCTGTTTCACCCAGAAAAAAAAAAAAAAAAAAAAGAATGGAAAGAGTTTATTGCTTGGCAAAAAGACAGAGGCATAAAAAGAAGAATGTGTATGGAAATTAAAACCAGGCTTGCTACGATAATGCTTTTTTGTTGAACCAAATTCCTGTAAAATAACCTAAAAGCATGCATGTGAACACATGTCCCAGTCTAGAGTATCAGGTATACTGAAATAAGTGGAAGCTTAACTGCTCCAAATGGTCACATATGAATCTTCAGTAGGGTTAACCAGTTGTGTGTATACATGTAGGAGACAAATGAGAAGAGTGGGGCCACTCAACCTTTAAGCTCTCATCAGGCTAACCGGCCATTTGACACAAATATCCTTCATTTCCTCAAACATCAGTTGCCAAAGTCAACAACTTTCCATCTTAATTGTTATTCTGTATTTTTGTGGATACGTCATTAATATTAAGGATTCATGTAGCTGAACTCAATAAACAATAACACTGTTGGTCCAATGAAGCGTATCGAGCTTTGGCCATTTATACGTTTTACTCCATTTAACACACGGAACCAATATAAACTCCATAAGCTCTCATAAGGCCATCCTCCTCTGTGCTGCTGCCCTTGCTGGTGACTTCAGAGCAGAATGAGTCTACGTCCAACTGCTTTCTACTCCGCTCATCATCAAGCCGCTCTCCAGTCGTGCTGCTCGGGGCACTGAAACCTTGCACCTACTCTTGTCAACACCTTTTATCGTTTCCCGGAAAACTTCTGTGCAACCCGGTAAGGCCATTTCCTTTAATGACCCAGTGAGAATGTGAGATCATCACTGGCAGAATATCCCTTGATGACTTAGTTGTGGAGAGTCATTTAAAGTCCTTTCTTGTACAAAATACAATGTTCTACTTGATGTTTCCTGCCTACACATAAAGGCACAGCATCACTTTGCTCTCGACTTGGGGTTATTGCTTTTTACTTGGTCATGTTTACTCCATTGAAATTTACATGGATTTTTGTTTTTTGTTCCATCCACAAAAGATTTCTGAGCCTTGTCTAACGTCTTAATGTAGCCTAATTAGGGAGAGTTTCAGATTTCAGTTGACAGGCCAAAATATGTGGAGGAAGGCCCGACTTGGCCCAAAAGGCTGCTTTTTGCCGACCACTAGCACAGAACATTTTGTTTAGTGCAAATGATGCCTCTGGTCAGATGGTTTGATCTCAGCCCCTTGCAGCACCTGTGGTAGAAGAATAAACAGTGCCTTTGCTGTGCAGAATACTACTGTAAAATTAGCAGGAAGGGGCGGGCCCATTCTGCCTCAAGTGATGCCGCTGAGAAAGAATACATTTCAGAACATAATACTCACATTTTCACTTGATTGTCGTCTTTTCTTGGCCGGATTATGTCCCGTGTCCATTGTTTCTGCCAGCTCCATCTTTCGCTTGTTCCTCTTGTACGCAGATAAACTGAACTCTGTGTGTGAAAAAAGATAAATCTCAATCTAATGCCTCCATATAAATGAATGCACCTCTGCCAAAGGTTGCTTTGAGCACTGTGTTTTGGTTCAGTTCAACACAAAATTAATTTCTTAGGTGGAGCATATTTAGAAATCTGTGCAGCAAAACTCACTGGTGGCCATTTTCTGAGAAAGGCATGGTGGTATTCCATGGCCGACTGCCCAATCGTGTGCTCCTCGCCCGACTAAAAAGCTGACAAAAGAATACAAATTAACAGGTGGATATAGTCTGGTTAATACCACAGTAATTAAAAACCGTTATAGTCACCAGGGTGGTATTCTGCCAGCTGATAGTTTCCCTTTCTGTGCTTCAATCAGTAGACGGTTTGCAACCAAGACTGGGTTCTTAATACCTGAAGGAGAAGTCAGAATCATCACAGGGCTAGCAGGTCATTCTATTTATTACAGAAACACTCACATCTGTGTTGACTTTCTGTGCATTGTTAATATTTGTCTTGTTCATTTTCACATGAGATATATTAATTGAGTTTACTGTTTAGTATTGCACACTTTCCTTAATAAAGCCATTGTTACGCAAGCACACCTATGAATGCTGGGTGTTTGTTTAGCCTATTTAAACCTTGTGAAAAACATGGGTTGGTAGGTATGGATTTTTATATCGAAGCCAAGAAAGTATTATTCATCATAAATATATTATATGGCTAATTGTTACATGATGCACACGTGGTAATAAAAGCAATTTGTTGTCTTTTGAACTGAATGTTAAGTGCCAGCTTTCACCCCTGGGCTGTTGTTTGTAATAAATCTTAAGTTTTAAGCTTTTATTGAAACCCTTCAATGAGCTCTCTCTTGAATATGCGGATGTGTACATATTAATATTATTTCTTGGTTATTAAAAAGTGGGTGGTCCCCTCTGTTTATGAACCTCTAAAGAACTCTGAGATGGTAGAAAGTAAATCAGCAAAACCTATGACAGATAGAGGCTTGACTCATTGCCAATACTTCCAGGTGACTGAACTTCAGTGCCACAACAACACAGCAATATTACATAAATATCAATGCATGTGTAATAACTCACCACTAATAGCCCCTACAGCCCCATAATGCAGCGACTTCCCATCCATGATACTCGCATCACATTCAATTTCCCCCGACAAATTAAGGTTGGAGCCCATGCCCGCGTTTGTAAAAGGAGAGTCCTGAGAACAATTAAAAACATGTTGAGTCTAGAAGAACATTTTATTTCTAATGAACCATCCAATCTGGGCTCAAATATAAATATTTTTCACATTATGTATAGGGGGGGGGGGGGTCGTGAAAATCAACCAACCTCAAGTTCAACCAGTGCTGCGGCCACTGCTTCCACTGCAAGTGCCCCGGCTTTGAGTCGGTCCACAGCCTGGAGAAGACGAAGAGAGGCCTTGTTGGAAGTGCAACAGCTTTCCAGTTAAAAAACACATTGCTCATTTAAGCCTTTGTAAAGTGATTTTGTTTTCTAGCCCCTAGATAATCACACTACAGTGCATTTACTGGAAAACCTCCATATCCTGCTGACTAACAAACGGGAAAAAATCGTTATTGAAAACAAAACTCCTTTTAAGCTTCAGCAAAAGCTCAAACTGCGAGATAAAACGAGGGCAAAGACAAGCGTGAAACATGCAATAAGGATCCTGGATTGGATTGAATTAAGTTTGTTTTGTGTGTGTGTGTGTGTGTGTGTGTGTGTGTGTGTGTGTGTGTGTGTGTGTGTGTGTGTGTGTGTGTATGTGTGTGTGTGTGAGAAAAAGGACACAGAAAGCATGAAAGCAAAAGACCAAATTGAACAATTTGATCTTAATGCAAAGTATTACATCCAGTAGGAAACAGGGCACAGCTCATCCCCCCCCCCCGTCTAACACCATTTTTTTGTAAATCAAGGGTGAAGGCAACACGGCATGGTTAGTATTTTAGTCGTACAGATGGAAAGAACAATGACTGAAACTAAATATAAAAACATTCCTGAGAAGAACCTGCTTTAGAGTGCCAAAAAACAAAGACTTCCACTCCAACAGCAAAATGATGTTAATACAGCCAAATGAAAACTGGAATGACTTCAAACAAGAGCATCAAAGTGCTTGAGTGCTACTGCCAAAACACAGATTGGAGTCCCACTGAATAAATATGGAATGACAGCTGTTCACAGATGCAGACCTTTATATCACAATATCTTGCTGATCAAACAAAGTTACTGAATCTAGATACTTTCTGAAGATATTAGATCCACTGATAGTACAAGAACAGAACAAATGTGTGCAAAAACGTAGAAGAGGGAAGCTCACAGTATTTAGCAACTTTTAGTTACCAAATTTGATAGATTTAGAGCAAATGAATAGGTAACGGTTAGACTGACTAAATAGGTTGACTTCATTGTGTGGATGAAAGCACACTTATTCTATATTCATATCACATAAAGAAAACTAATATTTCTGGTTAATGCATGGGCTTCAGCAGAAATATTTTATACCAACAAGTATAACATACATATTTGTCATATTTACAACTAGAATTACAAGCAAATATTATATTGAAGCACCATTCTTTCATTCTTTAAGGAAAGCCCTGAAATGCTGCTTTGATCTATTGCTCTGCATTCATAAGTATTTAACAGATTCAATACTGTGTACTGTTACATTTTCTAGAATGAATTAATATATTTACAAACATTCCATGAAGAAGAACATAGATTGTGTGTGCAAACAGCACAAGGTTATGTTGCTGGTTTGCACACAAACACACAGTTTAGTTGACTATAGTAATAGCTATAACATTAACTTACTCGCTGGCAGGCTCTTTTGCACACATGCTTGTATTCCTTGGCCTTAGATTCAGAGTGGTATCCTGCTCCTGAAAGCAGATAATAGCAAGAAAAAAAAGCATTTGACCATTCATAAAGTGTTGCTGGTTGACCTTCTTTAAGAGAAACTACTTTGGGAGACGTAATGTTTCGGTGCATGACGGGTCTACCGATGCCCATAATCATCATCTTTACGTATTATGAGGTGTTGCGTCAGACAGTATTTCTTTCCGATAAGCTCTGAATTCTACTTGTTAATCATGATCTACGCACTTACCTGCATGCACTAAGACAAATCCACCAACACATTTGGGCTTTGGATTCTTGCTTGATTCCTGTTTTAAGGACCAGGAGTTGGCCAGGGGAGAGGAGGGTTGCTGCTCTTCAGCAGGATCAGGATTCATTATACTTTCCATAACCCCTGCATAACCTGACAAGCCTATCATGGCCTCTCAGACAGCGGTAAGAAAAATCATTTCTCATGCACCTGTGACAGGGAAAATAAACGCAAACATTACCATTCAGGGATCATACAGGACATGGTGATTATACGTTTTTGGATGTTGTTACAGATGTGAAGTGCCTGGTGTAAAGCAGCATGGGGGTTCTCAGCTATGTACCACTGAGACTATGGAGCCACTGGCACACTGGGGGCACTAGACAGGGTTTCACTTGGACCAACACTTCAGTTTAATTAAGCTGATTTCACTGACAATGAATCTGCACATTCTTAATATTTCCACACATACATCAATCACGAGCTAATCAACTCCAATGGTCTAAAAGCGATGGAAAGCAAATAACATTGACTCAAATCTTAACTTACAAACATCGTGTGACTAACATCTACGTTACCTTATAGCTAACGTTACCTAAAAACGTGCTATTCATAGTGCAGCTCCACCAGACTACAAATCAAAGCTTGCACATCTATCACCCATCCCGTTAACCTAAATGGATGTTATCAACTTTCCAAACAGTTCCTGCTGCTCGTGTATCGTTACGCATGTCACTTTAAAGTCTGCGTTATTAAACAAGCATTATTGAGTTCATGCCACGTGTCTGTTTAATCAGTACAGAATGGCACTACATTTAAAAAAACTAAGTTATTTCAACTCAAGTCAAGCTGACAGTCCTGCGTTTTCGTTAGCTTCTTAGCTAACAGCTCGCTAACACATCAACAAAACGATATCAACTCACGGTTTCCGCTCCTCTCCTCCCAGCGACAACACTGCCTGCGAACCACGCCTTTGCCTGACATGTGTTTAAAACACACGGTCGGTAGACAGACTCATAACTCTAAGTGGGATCATCTTTGCTGCCACTCACTTTTACTCCTCTGTGCTAACCGCAGCTAGTTAGCTAGAGCATACAAAAGTACTTCCTGGTTCAGATACACGTTGCTAAGGAAGTGCGTTGAGCGCAAACATTGACACACGTGGATGAAGCTGCACACATTTAAAATAGGATTTCGCTCTTCTGTAGGAGAAAAACAATGTTGAAAATGCAGTTCCCCCCCCCTGCTGACATGCATACACAAAATGTGAATACGTTGTGTGAAAAAAACATGATCTTGAATATAAAACATGAAGCAGAAATCAACATTTGTTAATCATATTAATCAATCATTAATATTAGGATACAACTTGCAATGCATATCCTTAATAATAGGGCATACAAAAAAACAAAAAAGTGTGTTTGCTTGTTCATTGTTTATTATCTAATTGGTGAGATAGAGCTATCATTTTCAGGGCATCTTCTGTGGTCTCCACTGAATTATCATGGGGTTATCATGTGATTCTCACACTTAAATGAGGCCTAGTAATGAAAATCATTGTCCAGGACATGTTTTGATATGCTTTAATGTTAACAACCTATCCCACCTGGAATAAAGTCTTGTAGGTGTCTTTGGCTTTATACAGTATACCCAGGTTTCGAGATTTCTATGTAGATATCAGTATGTGTTAGTGGTGCTCACTGCATTTTTATTTTTACACCAGCTAGTTTCATCTTTTTATTGCGTATGCACTGACATCACCTGATAAATAGCCAGGAGCAATAAGCATGTAGTTCCAAAGTGGGGACTATTCCAGCATGATTAGCTAGAGTGGGTGCTAGAGTGGGTTCTGCAAGGTTTATATTAAAGTTTGATTGGAAGAGGGGATATTTGTAAATCCCTTTAACTTCATCATTGTTGAAACATTTGACAACACATAAAACAATACCATCGTGGTCAATATGATTATTTATGTGCAAAATATTTCAGTAACCCTAGCTGACTTGCTGCAAGTCTGTACACTCCCTAATTTACTGGAGAAGCCTATATTTAATTAAATCAATATTTTTAAAAAACAAACAAAATTTAAAAAATGAATGTATTACAATTTACCTTATTACTCTGGTTGTCAGCGATTATGCTGCATTAGCCTGGTTTGTGAAAATCAGGAGTAGTTGAATTAATTTAATTGTGTGTAAATTGAATTGCACAGTTGTCAGTTAAGGTGTAACTGAACAAAAACATTTTTTTAAAGTTGTGACTGCGATGCCAGCCCCTCAAGTTTACTTAAAACATACCATAGACCTTTTCCACAGCAGATATTTCGTCTGGCAGGAAACGAACAGGTCCAGCTAATTTCCTTAACGACAGCTCAGCTCCATTTAGGTGTCCCGGGAGCCATTCCAGTGTGCCAATATTCATAATGAAAGACTCTGAGACTGACTCACCTAAATGGAATGCAGGTATCATTAATGTTGAAAATGACACTTGGGTTTTTCCACTATGGCGTGTCAAAATGTCTGCAAACTATTGGCTATTGACAGTAAGGAAACTGCTACGCCCTTTTATGCTCTACAATCGATTTTCTCCTGTATGAATTCAATTGTCAGCAAAAAATGATGAGAATAGAAACAAGCTCTTTGTCTTGGATTCTGATGTGGTGGTCCTGTCTCCCATCAGGACGTCTTGGTGGCTCCAAAGTCTGAGAATTACCATATGTAATGTCCCTGGTTAGAGTCTGACCATGGAGCTTTATTACATGGCATCTTTCTCTCTCTCTTTCTTTCTCGCTCGCTTTATCTCTCTCTCTGTCTCTCTTTCTCTCACTCTTTAATAGATGTGTCATGACGACACAGACATGATTCATTTGAGGCCTTTTTACCTTCTACATCTTGAGACAGATTCACACTCGCGCAGGCTTTTTTGCTAGTAGCTATGACCTGAATCATAACCTTTGAAATCAAATGCATCAACATTTTACTTTTACAGTGCTATATAACCTTATATTTGAAGACGGTAAAAGAAAGGACCTTCGTCAGGCCTTCCTATTATACATGAGAGTTAGAACCAGAAAACATGAAAAATGATTTCAGCTACGATGGGCAGTTGAAGCATTGTGTGTTTGTGTTGTCACGGCAGAGATGCTGCACTGTGAATATGTGCACATTCAGATATCTTGATTTGTCTGCAATATAATATCAAAGAGATTTCTTCCTTTCTGTTTATGCTTTAGTTTATTGTTTCATTTTAAAAAAGGGAAAAAGCAAAGTTAAAAACACCATAGCTTCATATATTTATTGAGCTGGGATCAAAAAGAACACACCAACACTGTGTGAGAAGAATTATCCTGCAAATAAAACTGTTACATAGAAGCCATAACAGTTTGGATCACTGTAGTGCATATGTGCTTTGAACATGTTGAACATCAATCCACACTAAATCTATTCAACTTGGGTTCAGCCAGCGATCAGGAAGGAATTCCTGCTGCTTTGAGCGGGCAGAAAGCAGGCACGCTCTGGTGTGAAGAGACATGCTGGATGGGGGCTTTATGAAATACAGTTAAATAAACAGAGGGAGCCGTAGCAACACATTCTGCCAAAGCTACAACCCACAGGAATCCTGCAGGAAAAGAATACACACAGTGTGATGTTTTTTATATCCAACCCCAAACCCATTCTAAGGACGTAGACTAAACCAAGTACCACTCAGTAAACCACTATATTCACATTAGTGCATCACAACGCATCTCAGGACAAATTGCTCTTGCAGATGGATTACAGACGAGAGGCGATTGTGATCTACAAGAAGAAAAATGGTTGTAATCATGAATGAAACAGGTGCCAAAGCCATAAATAAGAAATACTGTCGGAGATTGGAGATATAAGACTATAATCTCTAATTCTGAGATACAGGGCAGTAGCCTATACAGCCTGAAGCTGAACACAGGAGGAGTTTTAGAAAGAAAGGTTCATATCTGGTCTGAACGTTTTTCACACATAAAAGGAGCAGCTATGAGTAAGGATGAAAACTTTGTCAATTTAAAGAAAAAAGTCATATTTATGGGACAGGACAATGGAAAGAATATAATGTGAAAATAATGATTGGCCTATATAACCAGATGGTGCAACAGATGACTGCTAGAACTGAAAGAATTATTCAAGTCGAGTGTTTTTCTTGTGTACTACAGAGACTGAACACATAAACAAGCATAATGAATGTGACGAGGTGTGCTTCAGATTCATGGTAGACTGTGCACGAATGGGCTAGTCTCTACCGAGGTACTTCTCAGAGGTTTTTGGCTCCTTTCGTCAGAATAGCTTCTTACATCTGTGGACAAGATGAGCATGATACAAGACAGGACACAATGGACGATGGGGGCAGACAACCGTTTGATTGAGAAGGTTGAAAAGGACCCACACAAACCACCAAACTCTAGTGTTTTCATGTTCAGGGTTGGCATTGCGTCAAAGACAGCACTCACAGGAAAGGTTCTCTTGCAGTTTGGGAGCGCTTCAAAACTATTTCCATCGCTAATAACTGAACATTAGAACTATTTGTATTGTTTATTGTGTGTGTGAAATTGACTGAGGAATTGTTTCCTTTCCGAGAAATCACCTTTACAGACCATACGGGCTTTAACATGCTCTCTGTAGATTGACACTGTCGAACCTTATCTGAGGCTTTCAGTTAGAGGCCCTTTCATTGTCATTGGCAAGATATGGAAAACAGTAAATAATTGTAGGCCTCCGCTTGAAGTCTTAAGGGCTAATTGAAGACATGGAGCCCCCCACAGAGTAGAGGTATTTAGTCTGCAGCAATAGGCTTGAGCTATGACTGTATTAAACAAATCATGTTTTATCATTAGACACTGACTGAGAACAGACATGATGATACAACCCAAACCAGACAGTCACAAAAAAAAACATCAAAGGACTTACGGATATTGACATAAGAACACGTATAAACAACAATTGCCATAATTATGATTCCTTTCGCCTCTGGGCTCACTTTCAGTCATGGGTAAATTTTGAGCATTTCTCTGCAGATAATTGTGTTGCTTGCTGTAATTACGTTGCTGCGATTATAATAAGTGGGATATGAAAAACATACGTATCAAGCCAACAAGAGATTAGACGATGCACTGTTCTTGGCCAGTGACTTGTAGGTACAGCCACCGGCTTAATCTCCTTGTGCTGTAACCATGGCGATAACAATTGCCTACGCAGTCTTACACAAATAGATCCTTTTTGGAGTATATGTGGAGTATACAGATTCGGCCCTGTACAAGCAACTATAGTCACTGGGAACAGCCAGCCAAGTTGTATCTTTTTGCTGCTCATCAGACATGGTGTTGTCTGCATTACACACTTATAGCAAATACGAGACACATTGAATGTCGTTATCTTAAATCACCCTAAAACAATGAGAAAACCTGATGAGTCTACAGTTTCATTGTTTGCTGATTCGTGTTAGGTGACGAAATTAAAAAGAGACAAAAAAGCCCATTTATCGTGATCGTGAATGAACCCAGGACTCCATAACACAACATTCAATGACACTTTAAGGCCCTCCACACCCTCACAGGTGCTTTCCATTACTCTGGCTGATTGGACCTTTAGTCAGGTGGATCGACCTTGAAATAACGGGATGTCACAAAACTCTATGGACCAATAAGAATGATAACGAGATAAGTTGTCTCGCCCTAACCGGTGCAACATTACAGAAAACAGGAGAGTGAGGGAGATGTGATGTGCCAACACAAAGAGGTCTAATCTGACAACATAAGTGAAAACACATGTGTGAGTGGACTATGGATGTCAAGAGGCGTCAGTCTCATAACTGAAACTATAGTGTAGTTGGGTGTATATTAGTATAACATAACAGTTTAACAAGAAGTTTAGCGTAAACAGAAATA